GCCGAGTACTCGCACATCGACAGCGCCTGACACATGTGAGCAGTGGCTGACCTTTGACATGCGCTCTCGAAATACATTTCGAGTGGAGCACAAACACATGGGTCTGCCACTTTCCCCACCACTCAATTCCGATCCATTCGATTGTGCCCAGGTACACCTACTTTGGCTTTATGTGGCCAAACGAACCCTTAATAGCTTTGTGGCTCGCATGTCAAAGGGGGTTTCCCTGTAAAGGTTTCGGCCCAAATGCAATTCCAAATGTACAAACACAAGACTAAATAATTGCCGACATTTTTAATTGGTTCAAAGGAATATATAAACTTATATGCTGTTGCACGCAAGGAACATATGAAATAAATAAATATATTAGGAAATCACAGAATTAAATCTTAAAATAAAAGGGCTTGTAAAATTTGATTGACATTTTTAAAGTCACATCTGACACATTTAAATTTGATTGCAAGATTGTACAAGTTAATATTTAGCTTAGGTCTGAAGTATAACATTTAACTTTTACCTAAATTACAATATTTTGATTTTTTTGTGGATTAATATGCTTGTTTAAAAATACTTTTTATTCTTAAGCAAATAAAATTGTAATTTTTCGTTAGCTTAAATTTAGATTTCTATTAGATTTACAGATTTTAAATATTAATATTTTTCTGCCTTGAAACATTAACGGCAATACGAAAAAATGTTTAATATATATTTTCATAAAACCAAAACTCTTATCCTTATAATTTGTTGTCTTCATTGAAATTTAAATATTTTTTCGCAACAAACGAATTACATTCTCAGTTGATTTTGTCGTGGAAGGGATCCATCAACTGGTGACGAATCTCCATCAAGCATATTGGGTTGACAAAGTTGTTAACAACAAGAACTTTATATGCTGTTTTCCGTTTTTCTTTTTGTGGCTGGAAAATTCCACATTTGTATACGCGACTCCGTCAGGAGAATACAATTTCAGTATTTTCCAGCCACGACCAGCTCCACTTTCACAATGAATCATCAGGCTAAAAACAACAGCCAGCAGAGGGAACTTTTTCTGCAGACCAACTGGGAGGATGGTATAGATTAGGGGAAGTGGCAGAGGGGGTGTAGGCAAGAGGGGGAGTGGCAGGGAAGGCGGGCGCGTGTTCGTCAGTTTAACCAGCATGACATGGCCCGGTCCATTGCGGTCCTGGTCTCTGGCATTTTAGCACTTATTCATAAAGTCCTTGCCAGCAACGGAAGACAAAAGGCACAAAATAAAAAAAACAAAAAACACCAGAGAGAAGAGGAATTACTAAAAATTTATCAATGTAAAAGTTGGTCGGGTGTTAGAGGGGGCGGGGTGTCTGGGAGCAGGAAACAAGCAACAATGTAAATTATATGCCAGTTGGTTTGCTATTTTAGAGGGGTCCAAAGGGGGTGCAGACTGCGAGTGGCTGCGCTGCACAGCAGCTTTCCCTTTGTCCGGGATTGGGAGCAGAGTCATGTAGGAGCAAAAATATATATCTCTGTGCGTACATATGCTTAAGAACCAGCCAAAGTCCTTGGAACACTGGGCAGTATGCATTCGGGTGCAGCAGTGCATCCACATGTGGCAAGCCAAGCTGCAAAGCACAATGTTGCACATAACTGAACTGTTTAAAGTTATGTTCTAAACACATTTGGTAGAAAAACAAATTTTACTGGTCTTTTCTTGTTCTTAACTAAAGCTTTGACAATTATTATGTTTAATTCAGTTAATCAACAAACAAGAAAAAACATTTCACTTATTTAAACAACTTTCTTGCATTTTTTAAAATCCTTTTCAATTATCCTTATTCAAAAAAACATATCATTTGACAATATCATCACAATCTTACTCATAAGGTTTCAAAGAACTTACGAAAAGATCTTTAAAATAGGGTCAGCTCGCTTTTCATTTTCACATGACAAGCGCAATATTGATTATACCGAAATATTAGTAAATTTAAATATGAATACATTTTCGATTATATTTATTTGAATATTATTTTTAAGCTTTCTGGGAAATGTATGTAAAAAATGATATAAAATTATTTTACTGTTGACAATTTTTGAGAACGTGACCTCATGTGCTCATATTGTAAAACTTAAAAATAATTTAAAGATTAGAAACTAGATTTACAGAATTGTTCAAAATTTAATTTATTTCTTGGGTAAATATAGAACTTTGACTGTATATTGATGGATATTTTAAATCTGCACCCCAACCCCAGAATGTATGGAAGTCCCACTAACAGTAGTTCCACCCAGCTGGGCCCACATTTTCCACTTCTTCCCAACGTCCTGCCACCCACTTTCAATGAACTGTCCAAAGCAGAAAGGAGCACAAAAAATGGCCAACAAGGCGGAGAAAGGTGGGGCAACGGGGGCTTCTGTGGCAGCGAGTGCAAAAAGGCGCTCAAATGGGGTTGTCAGTATTTAACCCACAGGGGTTGGAGGTGCCGGCTGACTGCGCGAACTCCGCAGAAGTCCATGTAACCACCAGAGAGGAGGGGGTGGAGGGTCGGAGTGGGTGGTACGCGCAACATACGAGGCTCTAACCAGAGGTGGCGAGAGCACAGGATTTGGTTCAAGGAAGAGGAGCCATCAGGATGCTCGGGGGATCGGGAGATCATCGCCTGCGAGACCCCACACATAAGTCATATGGCCAGAAAGAGAGACGTTGCCAATTGAATTTGGGGTCTAAACGGGGCTGCCAGAGAGAGACATCTAGCGGTGTTAATAAAAAGCCAGAAAATGCTTTTTGTTTCTTTTTAGCCGCTTTTAAGGGGGCAAATCAAAAAAAATGCGAGCGAAATTCCGATACAGTTAATGATAAGACATGGAGGCGAAAGAGATGGAGCTATTTCAGACAGAGATAGTAACAAAGTCATACAAGGGGCGTGACTTCTGAAAGAGAGCCACAAAAACTTGACGAAACTTGGCGAGTGAGTGAAACCAAGTCCAATTGGAGGTGGCTCTCTCTCTTATTCGAGTGGAAAGTTGGGGTGGCATATCGTTCATCATCCAATTGTACGTTTGCACTTCGCTCTGGCCTTCCCATGGCCTTCCCACCCTCCTGGAAACCCCGACACCAGAGGGCGCCAGAGTCCGTGGCCCGTTACGCCCCCCTTTTTGGCCCCCTAAAAGGGGCGGGGGAGTGCAAAGTGCGGTGGCCACAATTTGGCCCTTTGGACTGGCCCGCAACTCTTGCTTTTTGCAACTCTGCCGCCTGCGACACTTTTCCAATATCTCCTATTTTCCTATTTTCCCACTTTCCCACCCACTCCTTGGTTTGAAAAATGAAGTGCCGACAGTATTGCGTGGCATCCAGCGATTCCCTTAAAGTTTTCACTCTCCACAAGTTACTTGCGTGCAAATGGTCGCTCGTTAAATGCTAATTCCAAATGTATCGCAGAAATAACAGTCGGCAAATGGACATATCAAGTTACGGAAGGTGTCCTCGTTAAGAATGAATTCAATTATCGTTATGATTTCATGTTTTGGCACTTCCCCAGCCACATTTCCTCCAGACACGTAAACAAAGTCAACAAAGTAACAAAGTAAAAGTCGCTGCCGAGGAGCCAGTGCCTGATCCAATTAGCCCAGAGAAATTATTATAATTATATTACGACAGTCAATGGGCTTCAGTTGGCCACGGCTGGTAAGGTTTTATTTAGGGGCAATCCGAGTATATTGAGCGTTAACAATACGATATGATACGAGACTTTAGAGGTCATTCTGGAAGTGCCTCAGTTCCAATTATATAACATTGACTCTTTAAATCAACAAAGGTAATGAAAATTTATTAAACATTCTTAGGACTCGTGCTTTTAATAGACATTTCATTGGAACTTGTCAACATATAAGTAAATCCAATTTAACGACATTATAAATTACAAAACAAGTTTATTTTATATTTATTGATTTCTTTAAGCCTATAAAAAGAGGCTATAAAAGTTAGATTACTTATTCTTGAATAACAATCTTATGAAAATCAATAAAGTAATAAAGTAGCAAAATGCAGTATACCACAATAACTACTTTTAGTTATAGAAAATACTTATAATAAGAGTTAAAAAAATATATATATATTAAAACTCTAAAAAACCTGAATACGAACAGTTTCAAATATCTTTATAAAGATGTGCGAAACATTCTAGATGGAACTTTTTGGTTTGATATTTTCATGCTGTGGATTTTCAGGTGTAAAGCCAAAAATTTCATCCTGGAGTTTCATTACATATCCCACTCTCTATAAGCCACCTCATCCTGCCATCCATCATCGCTATCTCTTTGTACACCTTAAGCTTATCTCGTTTTCCTATGGCTAGCAACCAATAGAAAAGAAGCTTTAAAGCAAACATTTAACCGCGAACGGGCATTATGGCCGCCTAACTCTTCCCCCAGATAAGAAAGCGGACTTTAAGAGCCTCTGGAATTGCTGAAATACAAAGTAGAACGCACTTTAAGGCGGCCAACCAACCAGAGAAGAACGATTCGCAGCGCAGCGCAAAGATAAACAGTCACAAAAACTTATTTCGGGGTGGAGACTCGACTCATTTTAAACAAATTGGTAAAAAGTTGGGACCCAAAAGTCCGACGATAAAGAACCTTAACGGTAAAAGTATCTAACAGATGCGCCCGGCAGCGAGCTAATAAGAGCAAACGGGTTCTAGTTGGACGAGTGACTTGGCTTCGTTGAGTGCAAAGCGCTCGGAGAGAGAGATAGAGAGAGAGAGAGTGGTAAATGGTGGTGGCGGTGGTGGTGCTGAGAGTGGTGAGAGTGGTTGGTGGTGGCAAATCAGCCAAACGCGTCGAAGGTCTTGCCCCACCGCCGAGTGCGAGTGAGAGCGGCGATTCCACTCAACCGGATGGGATGTGGGCAGCCACAGGAGCGAGCGGATCAGCACCACTGCCTCTTTGAGTGGAGTGAGAGGAGCGGCGAGAGATTTGTGTGATGTGTCGTTAGGTCGAAACGGTCGAGTCGAGTCGGGTCGGGTCGTGTACCTTTTGCCACGAATGTTGTGCCAGTCAGGCTCTAAAAGGCCTTACGAGAACAGCTGAGATTTCGCTGCTCCGCATGACGCAAAGATACTGAAATTAAGCTGAAAATTTTCCAAGTCTTTAAGTTATCTTGTATATCGTGTGTGCGCCGAGCGGGAAATTCGAAAGCAAACGAAAGGAAAAAAATCAAAGTGTTTTTAGTGAAATGCTGAGATGCTGATAGCATAATAGCATAAATAAAAATTAATTTTTATTCAAAATAAAAAAAAAGAAAACCCAAAACGCGGCTGACAAACCTATTTGCCAAGGATAAATAAAAGCTAGAGCTTCGGACTCTACCGAAACCAGTGCGTACAAAGTGTATTCCAGCAACTATCCCACGTGTTCCGACCCGACCGCCAAAATTATTACGCACAATTCCCTGAGCGTGTACGGCGGCGGCGTCATGTGCGCCTCCCCGTCCACGGCTCCCAACTTCTTCAACCCGCGCCCCCAGTCCGGCGCGGAGCTGTCGGCCTTCGACCTCGGCCTGTCCCGCTCGATGGGGCTGGGCGTGCCGCCGCACAGCGCCTGGCACGAGCCGCCGGCCTCTCTGGGCGGCCACCTGCACGCGGCCTCGGCCGGACCCGGCACCACCACCGGCAGCGTGGCCACTGGCGGCGGCGGCACGACGCCGAGCAGCGTGGCCAGCCAGCAGTCGGCGGTGATCAAGCAGGACCTCTCCTGCCCCAGCCTCAACCAGGCCGGATCGGGCCACCACCCCGGCATCAAGGAGGACCTCTCCAGCCTGCCCAGCTCTAACGGCGGCTCCGCCGGCGGCCATCACTCCGGCTCCGGATCGGGCTCCAATGTCAACTCCGGACACGGCTCCGACATGCTGCCCCTGATCAAGGGCCACGGCCAGGACATGCTCACCAGCATCAAGGGACAGCCCGCCGGATGCGGCAGCACCACGCCCTCCTCTCAGGCCAACAGCTCCCACTCGCAGAGCAGCAACAGCGGATCCCAGATCGACAGCAAGCAGAACATCGAGTGCGTCGTGTGCGGCGACAAGAGCTCCGGGAAGCACTACGGACAATTTACCTGCGAAGGTGAGTACACTGAGAAAAACTCTGGGTAACGTCAAGGGGCAAAGACACACGGGAACTTACATAACACTAACTATTAAGTGCTGGGAAATAATGCAAATGTTTCTATCATTTCGCTATGTGAACACGATCAAATCAAGAAGAGTTATACATTTGTTAAAGACTAGATAGTGTAGCATTGGCCAACAATATCGATTTCCAGTACTGTCCCACACATTTTTGTATTTTGCCACCTCTATTAATATCTTTTGGATATTTTTGCATATTTTCATGTCAAATTGAAATGTTCAAAAATATCATCCTATCAAAATAATTTTATTTCTGAGTAGCGATCTCACCTCTGAGGTGCAATTGGGGGTCAATTGATTCCGTACTCGGGTTCGAACTGCGGGGATGACCAAACAGAAATGGCCAACGTAATAGAAAGCGAGCACAAAAGCGTGCCTGCCAGCCGCTGATTTTTGACAGTTTGGGTGAATTATGGCAGTTTGATGAGTTGGCAATAAACCGCAGCCAGGTGTGGGTGTGTGCGGGAATTCTTCCCAGGGCCATGCGAATCTTTGGCGGGAGCTGCGATGCAGCTGGAATGTGTCCGTGGGCCAGCGAAATCGATAGACCCAAGTCCGTACCCAAAGCTAGTTAGTTGATCGGGCCCCAAATCATGTAAAGATGCTTTTACGAGCAAAAAATACATTTATGATCGCCAAGATATCCAGCGAGATTTATGTTTGCGCAATAGCCTACTGCCGTCTTTTGTTGATATATTTTTGTGCAATTTAAGCTTTAAGTTGCATTTAGCCATCTGAGTGGTTGTAAAATGGCTAAACTCGTTGCTCAAGAACTCTTGGGGCAAGTCACCTCCCCAGATACTCTGGTCAGCATACCGTTACACTCCAACTCGCAGCACGAGAGCTCTCGAAATGTGTATTGCGATCCAGGCAGTGGCAGAGGCACGCACTCCCGCCACTGCCTCGCCTTATCGTCAGATAAAAATTATTATCTAAATAAAATACGGCCGTGCTTTGTCCTAAGCCAAACAATTGTTGTGCAAACATGCAAATTGTGCGGCGGCCGCTAAATGAAGCGCCCACCTTCTTATTGTCTCTGGCCCTCGGATGGGGATTCCGAGCCCGGAGTTCCGGAAAGAAGGCCGCGGGGCAGATGGATGGATGGGCAACTGCATTCAGCAGATAGAGCGAGATAGGCTGTGGCATTTAGTGCAGCCTGAAGTTGAACTTGTCATACTCGTATCTCTTCAAATGTTCTGGCACTGGAGCAGCCAAGAAGTGACTGGGCAGGCACAGTGGGCCGCGATGCCAGCCAGAGATTCCCAGATTCCCAGATACCCAGATACCCACAGACCATCCCTCGCTTCGCACTCCGATGGCTCCCACTGTTCGCGGGCGCTGCTATTATTATTAATCACCGAGCATTTTGTACGCATGCGCAACCCACAACAGCAACAATCAGAAGATATGCGCTCTGTGACCGCCTCGTTGCATTCTGAAGGTGTTTCCCCGTTTCCCCTTGACAGCCTGGTATGTATTATGTAGTGCATGGGTACGGGTACGGGTATCTCTCGGTTGCCTGTTGGCCTGATGATGTTGCCACGATAGCAATCTATTTTGTTCTATGCAATCGCCAGACGCTAAAGCTTGAGTCTCGGCCTCAGCTTCATTTTCAGCTTCACTCAAATGCTGGCGAAATAAAACGTAGGAAAAATCATAATAAAGCGCATAGAGCCCATATCATTGCCGGCGTTTTCAGGGTTTTTTTGTATTTCGCTGAACCCCAGCCCAGTCGCGTCCTTTCAGCTGATTCACTTCGAGGTGCAGATACTTTTCGTGGCTCTTAGAAAAGAAAGATACTCCACTCCTCAGCGGCAACTCGTTTCGGCTGTCTGAGCTCGTGTGTGTGCTCACTTGTCCGTCTGTCTCGCCGTCCCTTCCGTCCGTCTATATGTCTGTCCGATTGTCCAGTTTCCAGGTTCAGGGCCTGGGTTTCGGTATGGGTTTGGGTTTGGGTTTGGGTATGTGAACCTATGCCAAGACACCCCGCCAGTCGACGTACTCGTAGCTGCAAGATTAATTGTAGCTTATGCGTGTTGTCCGTGTTCCTGTTCCTGCCGATCTGCCTGCCCATGTCCTCCCATTGTGGTGGCAACTTGTTTGATTTCGCGCCCAGCTGTTGGCGGAATTGGGGGGATGGGCGGCCAAAAGTCTCTAGCACTCATCAGCAGCGGCAGCAGTAACCTTTGGCCGACTCGAAAAGTCACGGTTTAGTGGCGGCTGAAAAATGTGCGCTGATAAAAGTGCCTCGATAATATTAATGATGAGTAGTGCATGGCTCTAATGTGGCAAGACACCGCTCCCCCTCCAGCCCCCGCATCGCCAATTAATTTGGCTATTTGTCATGGCTATTAGTGGCCCAAAAGCCGAGGTTCCTCGTATCTGCCAAGTGGCCAAGTTGCGCTGCATCATCAATCAGTGCGGCGGAAAGGCTTGCACAAAATATTAAATCCACATTTTCTGCGAAACCATTGAATTTCCAATTCTGACATGAAAACTATCTCAGCACCCATGTCAGAAGTGAATTAGCATAACTTAGCCGCAGGCGCACATGACAATGACAAATAAATTTTACGAAAAATTACCGCCACTACTAAGTACCTGGCATGCGATTAATTAAAACAAACACAAACATCAACTAAGCAGAGCAGGACCGAATTGAGTGCAACTCTCGAGTGGGGAGAACGTAAGGAGTGGTAGGAAATTGCCATCACAACTAATTGTTAAGCGCCAGCCGAGCCCATTAGCTGCCACAAATAATGTGTGTGAAGTGCAGCCGCCAGCCGCAGATTGTCAACTCTGGGGGCAGCATAAATAATCCCGGCTCGACTTGTTCCATTTGCCACATATTCCGCGAACGAGCTTTGCTGTAAACTCATTTAAATAGATTCCCACGATCGGCAATTAAGACTCTCAGCCCGAAATCCCAAGCCCAGGCTTCCAATTCGAATCCCAAGGTTTGAGGAGAACTCCACACACAATTTTAGGCTGGAAATGTCCCAAATTTGTAATGTCGCGAAACGCTTTGGTCAGTTGTTGTGTATCTTTGTATCTCTTCGGAAAGAGAATCTTGTTTCCTCCGTCTTCTTCCTTTGTGCAGAATTGTATTCAACATGTGTGGCTTTTTAATTAACTTCATTATGACGTGGGCAAATAGCATTAAGGAAAAAAATAAGAATACAGAAGGAGAAAATGCAGGAAAGATTAAATTTTTTGAACGACCCATAAAAAAGAAATTTCTAAAAATAGTAAATAAGAAAAATACATGGTTTAATAACCAATAATAATCAGGCTTTATTTCGCATTAATTTTCTTTGTTGAAAGCAGTATTCAAAATGTGTGTTTTTTTATTAATAAAAGCCACATTTTTGCTTTTCACTTTGCACCTCTTGACAATCTGTTAAATGGCGCTCTTCTGAAATTCGCGTTTCGCTGTGGAAATTCATTCCACTCTGAGCATTTAACAAAAGCCAAACATAAATCAATTTGCTGTCTGTGATACGACCTGCTCCACCCCCTCCGCCCCTCGCAGAGCAAAGTAAAAGCAACAAAGTAAATACGAATGCACAAAATTAACAACGCCCACCGAGCATTGCAATTTATGACGCTGCACTTTTGGGCATTTTTTTTTTTTGGGAGTGGGCGTGGCCACAACGCCCGCGGCAGCGGATTTCTTATTTATTAATTAGCAAGAGGGAAAATAAATTCGAGGCTTGTATTAAAATTTGCATTTAGCAGGACAGGACGGCTGGAAGTCAATTTCATGCCCATAACATATATCAAATAAATCGCCTTTTGATAAACATTTATAACTTCCGTGCGATTTGCAGTCTGCAGTCTGCGGTCTGCGGCGGCTGGCTCTTGATTTACAACTCGGTAGCGGTAGCTTTTCCCCCATGCGAGCGGCATAACTTATGGCCCCGATATTTATTTTGACAAATTCGTATGTTTGCACTGGCGAATACTCGTCCGGATTCCCGGCCATTTGGCGGGTTAACGACGCTGTCACAGTAATCATACTTGTAGGAGAGCATTGCCCAACTCTGTGTCAACATTAATGAGCCCCGAGCTGAACCCTTCATTAAAGGCGGCCAAAGGAAAATCACCAAAAACAAAAGTTAATTGTACAGATATTGCCGAGACAGAAGAAACAAACAAACAGTAACAGCCAGAGCAAAAACAACTGCAAACTGCAAACTGCGAGCTGCAAACTGCAGGCAGACATTGTAATCATTAAAAGCTGGCTTGTACTACAAATCGTTGTACTTAGAAGAAATGTTCGAGCCAATAAAGCTCGGCAGCCAGCTAGCCCTGTCTGGAAGACCAGTCTCCCCAAACTGAGGTCTCTTAAAATGAGGCGCAAAAAATTCATCCTGACACGATGCGATTTCGAAAGAGGCCCCCGAAATAAAAGAGAGTCTCTGGGGCAAGGAAATCGTGAACTACCGACTTGATCCGCTTTATAATGTAACGGTTTAATTAATTATGTTAGGCCCGGCTCTCCAACTGGCTGCTTTGGGCCACAGTTTGTGCTGCAGATGCAGTTGCAGTTGCAGTTGCAGTTTCTGTTTCTGTTGCCACTTCATGCGCAATTTTCGTTTTCAACTAAGTTCGGCTAATCGATCAGGCCCGGCGAAATGCAGCCTTTCCGGCACGTTTTTGTGTGCCTCTTCGAGGGCCAAACTGCACTTGCGAGCTGCAACTTTGGCCAGAACCCGGGCCCAGAGTCGCTGCCTTGGCCATAACCCCTTGGCCGCTTATCGCCATGTGTCGTACATGACCAGGGCATTTGCACGGCTTAGAGAGCCCGACTTGCCGCATAACTCCGCATAGCATCAGTTAAATCAAAGCCAAATCGCTTATCTGAGGCGGCGGTTTCTTTGCGCTCTTTTGCATTTCCCTGCGGCAACGTGACATATGCAAGATGTAAATGAAAAGCGAGTTAAGACTGCTCCGATTCCAGCGAAACAATCGCGAAAGTTCTGCCCGGGACTCCGGATACGGGGAGCTTCCCAGATTGGCATTTGATTTACAGTTGACCCATATTGGGCCATAAAAACGGGGACCCGGTGGGATATCACAGGCACAGGCACCTGTTCCGTTCCAGGTTTTTAGTTTTTTGTTTTTTGTTTGCTGTTTTTGTTGCCTTTGCCTTTGCCTTTGCCTGAGGCCCCGTTCATAATCAGTGCATTTTGTAGATACTCAGAGTGCATGAGCCGAGTTACTCGCAGTTTCGTGTCTGTCGGCGGGGGCTGTAATTATGTTTCGGTTGTACTCCAGATATTTTGTCTAGCCGCCTCTGGACTCCAGTTGCAGTTGTGCAGTTGCTGCTGTGTGTGCTAATTACTTTGACTAGCTGGTGGCTCCGTGTAAGCTTAACATTTAATTATTGCACCTTAATGATGGCCCTCCTCCACCCTCTTCTGCTCCCCCCTCTTCCAGACCACTGTGTGCATTAGTAATTAGAAAATGAGCCAAAGTCAAGGCGACTTTGACTTTGCATCGCCGTTCCGCTTCCTCTGGGCCAAGCGATCATTGACCGCGGCTGGAAAATGGCAAATGGGAAATGGGAAATGGGAAAAGTGTAGTCCACCGCAATTGATTGGGCCATCTGCCACCCGAGTGCATGTGCCAAAAGATACAGATACCCAGAGATTGCCGGCTAGAGCCAACTAATTTAACGCTTTAAATTGCCCAGCCAAGCGGCAAGGGGATCTCGTGTGGTGCAGATAGATAGCTCTGCTCACTTTCAGGAAGTTCAATTAATAAAACGCTTAGCTTAGCTAAGCTTAGTTCTCGGAACCTCTTCCAACTTCTAACTGTATTGAACGCTTTATGGCGCGTAGCGCACGCGAACTAGCTTCCTCAGCTTCCTCAGCCACCCGCTGGCAATTAGGTGAAGCGGTAATTGAAACTACCGCAAAGTTGGCCCAAACCTCTCGGCTTTGGGCTCTTGGCTAAGCCAAAAAGCCAATCGTTTAAGCCGAAGCCGTAGAAGGGACCATGGCAGTGGCAGGCCAGGATTCTAGGGCTTCGCTTCCCTGACTTCCCACACTCGTATCTCAGCGCTAGAGCGATCCACCCTTTTTCGGTTATTGATATAACACGATATCCACTCCGCCCCGTCTCAGATTTTGTTTACGGTATCTGGCCCATGTACTCGTATCTTCATCAATAACGACGCGCATCTTTCGCATCGCAAAAGTCCACTGGGGATCGACCCCGCTCCTCCCAAAGTTAAGATACCCAGATACTCGGGACGGAGCTGCAGCTCTAGATAGAGTTGCGATAGGCGCATATGGGCAGTTTGCCTCTGTTGCAAGTTCTTTTATTTACCTCTGCTCCGCCTGGCTTTCTGGCCAAGTTGTCCGTTCGTCCACCCCCCCTCCTGGAACAGGCGAAGCGCAGCCAGAGTTGGTGGAGGCAGCCAGAGGATGGGGCAAAAGGCAACGGTACGTTTTGGCAGAAATCGTGACTTGGTACAATATCGTTATTCGTAGATCATATGGTGTAAAAGCTGGCAGTGTGTGAGTGGGTATTTCTAGATGTGTTCGTAGTTGTCTCTCGGGTTGGTCTGTGGAGCAGTTTCGTATGGAAGAGCCAAAAGTGAGGAATACTGAATGCCCTTTGGTATAGGAAATGAAATCAATCTTCGGGACTAACAGTGCATTGATCATTAAAGAAGTCGCTATTGGTACAGTTAAGATATACTCCAAATGCCCTAAGCATACTCCTAATTATTTGATCTTCACCCGAAGTCTTAACTATGATAACTTCTTCTTAGTGCATTAAGCGATCGACTTTCAATCAATTTCAATTTGCTGGCCACGTTTTGTTTCCATTTCGGTGGGAGGCTGAAGCCACACGATCGCATTGGCAAAAAGCATTGAAAGATCTTTTATAGCCTGTGATCGCATGCTATATAGAGTGCGGAGGGGGGTGGAGGAGGAGGAGGAGTGGATAGGATCGAGTCTGCATAAACGCTCAGCGCTTACATATTTTGTTTGATGATGATTTTACAGCTTAAAACGAATTTTATGAGCATATGCCATTGTTTTGAGTTATTGTGAGAAATTTTGTTGGTCTACGGCAAAAAAACCAGGTCCAGACAATGCCTCCTATATATATGTATGTATATATATATATGTATATGTAAGACATATCCCCCTGCCATCTGGCGAGGCTCTTTATGCAGAAAACGCTGATGCAGTCGCGCAGAGCCAAGTGATACACATGTTTAGATACGCGTCGGCGACATTAACTTGCCGTGTCGCTAGCTTGTCCTACAACAACACCCAACTGTGGCCCAAAGCACTTAGCCAAAGTTAAAGCTGAAGTTAAGGCTGGAGTTGTGGCCAAAACGAAACCCAAATCCAAAACCAAAACCAAAACCGAAGCCCAACGAGCCATGGCTGATCTGGCCGTCTAGCTTAACAGTAAATTCGTGGCAAGCCGAACTTGAACTTGCTGCCAGTTTTCTTTTATTTTCCCCTTTTCGCCGTGGCCAAGATACACTTTGTTAATTGAAAGCCATTAAAGGTAATTTTATGGGAGGCGTTAAGCCATGAAACGTGTAACATGACCATTGACATGGGCATCAGGAACTTGGTGCCGCGGAGTTTGTCAAGGAGTGCAGCTGGAGCCCGAACCCACTTTGCCGTACAAGTGGCAACAATTCTTTTTGTTCTCGGGCAGGCCGGGGTGCCAAGGAATTTGTAGGGACAGAAAACACCCAGAGTGGGCCTAACCCTTACTTTTGTATATTTCATTTGCATCTTATTAACCTCCGATTTCTTCTCTCTTGCAGGCTGCAAATCGTTCTTCAAACGCTCGGTGCGACGCAACCTCACATACTCGTGCCGCGGCAGCAGAAACTGCCCCATTGACCAGCACCATCGCAATCAATGTCAATATTGCCGATTGAAGAAGTGCCTCAAAATGGGCATGCGACGCGAAGGTAAGAATCATTCACTACTCAGCCAGAAAAACAAGTGTGTTATTCAGAACAAAGAAATTCAGGCATTGCTGCTGTGTGCTGTGGGTCAATTAAAAGTCAAACCCAGAGGCAAACAGTATAAATTAAATCAACGGCAGAAGATCGGAAGTAGAGCAGCGCGATGACTAAATGTCACATGCTAGGAATTTGAACAGCGGCGAACAATTGGGCTCGGTTCGGTGCGGATCAGTTGAGTTATTTGGGTGCCAGGAACTATGCCAGGGAATGTGGCCACCGACCAGAGCGGATCAGCTCGGATCAGCGGGGATCGGGCCAAGTGTTCATTTTCATATTTTCCCATTTTCCACCACGCACAAATTGCCGTAGCAGCAAGCCCCCGATAGAGAAAACAATTAGGCAGGCGATTGCGGCCTATTGACCCCGGAGATCAAATGCAAACTTGTCCAATCGCTTGTTCGTAACTACAGTGCAACCATAAGGCACACTGAGCGAAACGCGATGCAATTTATCAGCTAATCAAATGCAGCCCAATGTGTAACTAATTTGTAAGCACGGCCAAGCCAAATATTTGGCATACTTGGGTGAGACTCGTTTTCCTGCAGCGACTGATTGACTAGCTGACTGGCTGGCCGACTGGGTGACTGATTGACTGATTGACTGATTGAATTGGCTGACTGTCGTACTGCCGGTCCGCCAATGGCCAGTTACACTTGTCAGCATTAACAATTAGCGTCCGTCAGGGAGTCGCAGATACAAAAGATAGAGACAGACTGCAGTTAGCGGACGCTAAGCTGTTATTATTTGCACTAATATTGACAGGTTTTTCGCAAAATGCTAATAGCCAGCAGCCACAAAAGCAACGGCAAACGGCAAACGGCAACGACTACAGATGTCTGAACGAACAGTGTACACTGTACACACATCGATTTGGGTTAAGAACGAAAACGTTAATTTATGGCGACTACGGGCAATTAAAATGCAGCTACAGCAGCCTCCTCTCAATGCACTTGTAATTAAATGAATATAAACATTTATTTAGCCGCCGACGGATTGTGAAAAAAGCATTTCAAATTTACCTAAGTCAATGCTGGCCGCGTCGAGACAAGTTTTTGGCTAATGACACAGTCGGAGCCCAAGTCCGATCTACCTGTTGGGCCCATTAAATCTGATATTTCCCCACCCAGTACCCCAGTACTTGCCCCAGAGCTCGTAAAAACGCAAAAGAGTTCAACACCTTTTGCCACATTCTGGAGCTGGGTTGCTTTATGAGTTGCGTTGGGTTGAGTCACATTTCTTTAATGACAAGTTCTGCGTAAAACTAGTCCCTCGCTATCAACGCTGAGAAATCGTGAGAAAATCTCAATTCTGCATAGGAGGTTTCCTTAGGATTTACCCTCTTTATGGGCGCGGGGCGGGGGCAGGGTACTTAGCTGCGAAGCGGGACAAAGGTTGTGCCTGGAACGACCCTGGGTCAAGAAATTGTACGGGTTTGGCGCACAAAAAGTCTCGCAAAACCTGAAAAAACAACATCAAATCGGTGTTCCGGGTCGCTCTAATTAAATTGCAGTGTCAATTGGTCAAGGGAAGTGGGATGGGGCGGCGCAGGAACTGGTCGGCAAATAGCTTAGGTTTTCCTGCACAAAAACTAGTTTTTAGGGGTAGCAAAATTATGCTAAATTATTTTGAATTTATTGTAAAATTTTAAAGGGATTTTCGGTGGGGTGCGCAGGAAAAAGCCAACTGGCTGGCCATTCGAAAATGCTGAACTCTTGCTCGTGAACTCTGACCACACCACTGGAATTCCACTGGTTTGCAATCAACACCTGCATTCGCTCGATTCGGGGCTTGGTCGAACGCATTTCTGGGCAGACAATGGCCGGGGATCGTTCGGCAGTTAGTTGGAGAGACTTGGCTGGTTAGGAAAGTGGGTCAGCAAAAGGTTTCCTACACCTCCACGGCCAGATGGAAACTCCACACCTTGGCAGCCCGGCACCAGCACACACATCCTAGGCACACCTAGAGCTCACTCGCAATCTGGCCAACGCAATCGGAGCCTTGGGCCAGGCCAATTCGAATCCGCACTAAAACAAAGCATTGGCGAAAATGCACAAACGTTATTATTGATCGAAGCTCATGGTGGTGCAGCTGGAAGTGGAACTGGAACTGGATTCGGAGATCTCTACCTGGGACAAGCTGGGTCCACAAAACGTAACGTCTTTCGGACTCGGAGGAAGCGAAAGCGTTTTTGGTCAGTCCGCACAATGGATATATCCCGAAATCCCTTTTTGTCCCGGCCTCGAAGGTGTTTGTTTATTGCCTTGCCGGAGCAATTAAGCCGGGGGTTGCACCACCCGAACCAGTTGACCACTGTCCATCCGCCGGGGGAGAAAGCGAGACAGCGACACTTATTTACACAATACATTTGCGTAATTGTGCGATGGGGTGAGCGAGGACGAGGACGAGGACTCTATAAGATGCACTTGGTGATCTATGACGGCAAACCGGTCGAGCGGCCAGTGTCCAGCGCCTTATTTATGCGCCTGGGAAAATATTGCCTGACCGCAAGAACGGCGAACAAGCTGAAAGAGCCGAAAGGAGAATCTGCCTAAGCCTGTGGTTTCGCTCCCAGATCAGGTCGAGATTACAGCAGCCAAGAAAGCAGTGCAAAGGGATTGCGATTGGACTTGGAATGGGTTTCTTGAGATAATGCGAACGGCCCTGGCCCGACTTGCCCTTTTAGCTGATTGCTTAATGAATGAATCTTCCGCCAGCACGTGCTCAAGTTCCCGCTCACATGTCACTCGCTGCCAACACTCGAGAGCGTGTCCAAGTGGCTTAACTTTCAGCAGATATTAAGTATCCATATCTACATGGTCATGTCGCTGTCCGCATCCGAATACGAATTCGAATCCCAATCCATGTCAACGTCTGGGGAAATGTCGTTTCCGGCCAAAGTTCAAAAGGCCTTTCACTTTCCATTTAGCTGCTCAGTTGTTAAGCGTTTACATTGTTAATTATAATGTTTATATATAGCCTCACTGGTTGCAAAAAAAGAAGAGAAAAACCTGTACATTATTTCCTTTCTTTGCCGTACTTGCCCAAAATCTGCCAAGACTCTCCCCACATCTGCTGCGGCGGTATCTGCAAGATGTGTGTATCCGAAGGATGCGTTGAAAGTATTTAGTTCAATTTGCATATCTAAGCAGTCGAGACAACACAGAAAGGGGTTGAAAGGATCTGGGGTGGCAGGAAAGTATCTTATGACGATGTCCTGGCCTGCAACAAAGGACGGGCAACAACAACGCAGTTCTATATAGGTAGATCGAGTCGGCCAGATATTCAGATATCCAGATAGCGAGCATTGTGAGTTGTGGCAGCTTTGCCAACAGAGCAGAATGCCCCGCATTGTACTTCGTGTGATGTGGCGGTCAAAATAAGCCCAACAAAAGCAAGAGTCTTCTTTGCAGGGTGCCTGTATCTTTCCAAGGATGTGGTTCAGAATGCCTTAACTTTAATATTTGTTAGAGAAGAGTTCTTATATTAACACAAGATATAGAAATTCGTATTCTAGTTTTTTAAAAATCGATGTATACTAAACATGGGTTTCTGGAACACTTTATATATAATCTTTCATAGTCATGTTAAATGTTATTCAACCAAACTAATCCTGATCTCTCCCTCTTTTCTTTCCAGCTGTCCAACGTGGCCGCGTTCCTCCCACTCAGCCCGGATTAGCCGGCATGCACGGGCAGTACCAGATCGCCAATGGCGACCCCATGGGCATCGCCGGGTTCAACGGGCACTCGTACCTCAGTTCCTACATCTCGCTGCTGCTGCGGGCGGAGCCGTATCCCACCTCCCGATATGGCCAGTGCATGCAGCCCAACAACATCATGGGCATCGACAACATCTGCGAGCTGGCCGCCCGACTGCTCTTCTCGGCGGTCGAGTGGGCCAAGAACATACCCTTCTTCCCGGAGCTGCAGGTGACCGACCAGGTGGCCCTGCTGCGGCTCGTCTGGTCGGAGCTGTTCGTCCTGAACGCCAGCCAGTGCTCCATGCCGCTCCACGTGGCGCCGCTGCTGGCCGCCGCCGGACTGCACGCCTCCCCGATGGCCGCCGACCGCGTGGTGGCCTTCATGGACCACATCCGCATCTTCCAGGAGCAGGTGGAGAAGCTGAAGGCCCTGCACGTCGACTCCGCGGAGTACTCCTGCCTCAAGGCGATCGTGCTCTTCACCACCGGTAAGTTGCTGGACATCCTCTACAAGGATGTGCCGGCGCTGCTCACCAAGGTTTCAGCACTGATTGGCAAGGGTTCCCCGGCGGCGTCCAATGACGATGTCCTGGGTGTGGTGCGCGAGCACCTGGACGAGCTGAACCGCCTGGAGCTGGAGTCTCAGGCTCCGCAGCAGGCGCCGCTCCACCTGGCCGCCTTCATGAAGAGCGTGGCCGGCGTTGAGGCTGCAGTGCAGCAGGCGGAGCAGGCCCAGGCTCCGGCCTCCTCTGCCCCCGCCTCTGCCCCTCTGCTTCCCTCCGCCGGCAGCGCCTTCAGCAGCTGCCCGGTCAAGTCCGCCGGTTCCGAGATGGATCTGCTGGCCAGCCTGTATGCCCAGGCTCAGGCCACGCCCCCGAGCAGCGGCGGGGACGCCTCCGGGCACAACAATAGCAGCGGGCTGGGCGCCTCGCTTCCTACTCAATCGCAAAGCGGTTCGTCCTCCCGCAACCTAACCGCCTCGCCGCTGAGTACTTCGCTGGCAACCGCTCCTGCTCCCGCGCCCGCTCACGCTCCCGCTCCCGCTCCCGTTTCCGCTCCTGTTCCCACCTCCTCGGCCGCCCACCTCCCTGTGCCCGCCCCCGTTCCAGTGTCATCCGCTCCGATGGGTGGTGGAGCCTATCAGACGCCGTCGGCCGCGGCAGCGGCGGCCGCCATGTTCCACTATCAGACGCCTCCGCGCGCCGCCTTCGGTTCGGCCTTCGATATGTTCCACCACAGCACGCCCTTCGGGGTGGGGGTGGGCGTGGGCCACGCCCTCGCCCACTCGGGCGGCAGCGGCAGTGCGTCCTTCGGCAGTCCCACTTACAGGTACTCGCCCTATAGCCTGGCCGGTAGTAGATGGCAGTTGTAGGATCTCACAGAAGTCGAACCCTGTACTGTAAATTTACCCTTGTATCTATAGCGTTAGGAGAGCCCCATCTCTGTACATGTACTTAGTTTAGTGCCTACTGCTAGTTTCTACCTATTTATTGCCTTACACTAAGTATAATTTATTCTAGCCGTAATCACTTAGACTCGTTTAGTGAACTTTGCCAAAAAATTTGAAAAAACAAAGATTCGATGAGGGAGGAGAGAAAAAGAATTTAAAGAATATATATAAAGCTGTTGCTGTTAAACAAAAATCTAATCCTGGCTTGTGTTTTTACTTGTTATTGCTTACTAATGCTTTACACCGCTTGTTGACTAATTTTTAGTGTATTATTTATTTGTTTGTTTTGGTTTACTAACAACAATTATACTAACCCTTAACTAAACTAACCCTTAAAACTTAAACAGCAAAGATTACATTTGTTTCCAAGTGAGATTCTACTAGCATTTGTTGATTAAAATTGTATTGGAACTTTTTGAAACAAAAGAAATAAGTATACAACGTTTTTTAATTATTAAATATTTTCAATTAGATTTGTATTTTTCTATTACATTGAAGTCGTAATGTTACACAATGATGAACTTGATTTTATTTCTTTTAAGTATTTTAATCGATTTCATCATTGTTATCTCATTTAATTACAAGAACGTTAGAAACATAATGATGAATTAGTTTTCATTTCTTTATATAATATTTTAAAGAGATTAAATCCATTTTATCATGTAATCCTGCAAAAAATAAAGTCCAATAATAAAAATGTATTTAAAATTTAAATGTACTTTACTTTCCAATATTTAAAAATCATTTTAAATTGTAAATTCCATTTAAACGGAGAAAAATCTAATAACGAAATGCCTTAGATCTTGAAATGATGAACAAATTCTGATTAAGTACAGTGACAAACTTAATTATTGGCACAGCAAGCATGTTAAACTTTGAGGCTATTTTTCTTCTTATAATATGCTGATATTAAAATAAAACAAAATATTTTTAGATAGAATCATTAATTTTTTGTTAAATACAAGTGACTTCATTAATTTATCTTTTATAAATAATTTATTAAAAATAAAAAACCAAAGAATGGACCAAATTTGCCTGAACAAAATTATTGGCACACTTGGGTTTTAATTAACTATTTCATTAAAACTTTATCGATTTGCCCACTTTTTTTTTTAATTATCACATTTGCCTCTATAATCTTAATGGTATAATGATTAATTTTATAGCAAACATTGTTTTAGTGCCTTAAAATAAAGGAAAAGTTGTTTGACTTTACAAGGTAAAAATAAAATCAACCGCATGTGTCCAAAAATTAAAATTTAATAAGCAGGATCAATGCAAATCGAAAGTAAACATTGGGGAAAGGATGCCCAGAAGCCATTTTTCCCATTCGGAGTCCTTTGCCGCATTTAAAGGACCCACGCAGTTGCAAAATGCAGGGCACACTGGCTAATCCATGGCTTTGAGAGGCCAGGAAAGCGTAAGGATCGTATAAAAGGACAATGTCAACCCCCAGATCTCCTCAACACGTATCGAAGTTGATGATAAGAAGGACTTTGGTAAGGATATTCACCCAACAGCCTTTTTCAGGCCCTGCATGATGGTTTCTACAAACGAATTGAACCTAGAAAAAATCAATAGATTTTAAAAGTCAAAAACAACCTTTTAGTGCAGGGAAATTTATATCTGAGTATGCCAATCGACTTTTGGGTCCTTTCAACCTTCTCGTATGATTTAATAATCCTTTCCCCAAGCAAAGAGCTTATGTTAGAACCCTTTTCAAGCCGATGGATTTTTTCTAGGAGCAATTCATTTGTAGAAACCATCATGCAGGGCCTGAAAAAAGGCTGTTGGGTGAATATCCTTACCAAAGTCCTTCTTATCATCAACTTCGATACGTGTTGAGGAGATCTGGGGGTTGACATTGTCCTTTTATACGATCCTTACGCTTTCCTGGCCTCTCAAAGCCATGGATTAGCCAGTGTGCCCTGCATTTTGCAACTGCGTGGGTCCTTTAAATGCGGCAAAGGACTCCGAATGGGAAAAATGGCTTCTGGGCATCCTTTCCCCAATGTTTACTTTCGATTTGCATTGATCCTGCTTATTAAATTTTAATTTTTGGACACATGCGGTTGATTTTATTTTTACCTTGTAAAGTCAAACAACTTTTCCTTTATTTTAAGGCACTAAAACAATGTTTGCTATAAAATTAATCATTATACCATTAAGATTATAGAGGCAAATGTGATAATTAAAAAAAAAGTGGGCAAATCGATAAAGTTTTAATAAAATAGTTAATTAAAACCCAAGTGTGCCAATAATTTTGTTCAGGCAAATTTGGTCCATTCTTTGGTTTTTTATTTTTAATAAATTATTTATAAAAGATAAATTAATGAAGTCACTTGTATTTAACAAAAAATTAATGATTCTATCTAAAAATATTTTGTTTTATTTTAATATCAGCATATTATAAGAAGAAAAATAGCCTCAAAGTTTAACATGCTTGCTGTGCCAATAATTAAGTTTGTCACTGTATATAAGGCACATCCCTAACCCAAGGTAATGGAACTTTTTTATTTTTCAGCTCATGTGAAAATGTTTAATTTTGTTGAATTTATTTCTTCATAATTTCAGCAAATTTAACAGTTTTCGGTTTCATAAAACACCCATTTATTTAACACTAATCTTTTCACATTTTTATTTCATTTTTTAACAAAAGCTATTCACACAAAAACAAACAAAATTTAATCTCATCCGCACGTGGCAACAAAACTCTGGACTTTGGGATTACACACACACTGAAACACATGCACGTCTAAAACATTCACACGCACACGCACACAAATAAGTCACACCAGTTTATATGCGAATAATTTAAATAATTTTAAAACCTTATACATACTTATTTTTAGACAATTAGGCTCCACGCGAAATAAATCATTGAAGCTTTGTATGCAAATAGAGTGAACTGAGGTTTTCTTTGACTTTAGCCTAAGCTAAGTTTGCGATTAAGTGTAAGTTAGCGATTTTAAGTTCGGCTAGGATAGGGGGAAAACGGAAATTTTGATTTAGTAACTCCCCCCTTTTCTCGTGTCGTGTCAACCAGCTGTCCAGCCTCACGTCGCAATTGTTTTTCCGCTGATCTGAACTGAGCCCGGCTCAGAGATATCCCATTCCCCGCCTGCTCTCTGTGGCGACGTTTATTGACGTCGAGATACCACATTATGAACATTAATACAACACTCGTTTATGTCGCTTACTTACAAGCCCGACTCCAGTCGACCAATGGACCAAGTCCAGGCCTTGGCCAAACTTGCAATGAAAATAATTTTACCATTTCCAAAACGCTGTGTGTGTCGCTTGGCCAAGCTACACGGAAAAAACAGATTTAAATATTGCGTGTTTTTCTCTTAATTAAAATTGATCCAAAGGATAGCTTTGCAAACACTTTTTGCAAAATACGAATTGGAGAACATTTAAGAATGAAAGCTTTATTTTTCCTTGTTATAAAAAACTGTGTTGAAGAAGGGTTCCTCATATTATTATTTCGTTTGACCAAGCTTATGACAAACACTTACTAACCTTTCATGGTTTATTTAATGTTTAAATCAATAAGCTTTATTTTATAGGAATGTTTATGCTAGGGGATTGGCTTCGAAATTGACTCCCTTGACAAGGCATATCAGGATTGCTTTCGGTTAATAATTTTGTATGAAACTATTTTAAACTATTAACTGTCACATCCACTCTCCTAGTTTTTCTCCGTGTAAGCCGAGATCGGCTAAGCCCGACTCTTGAGGGGGCGTGTGTGGCGTGGAGTTCGTGGTCTCGCTGGCTGAGACCCTGGACCGACTGCAAGCTGCAATTGCATTTGAATTGGCTGCATGAGTCCATAAACTGCAGCCGATCAATCGCTGCGCGGTCCCCAGTCCCCGATCCCCAATCCCCAATCCCCAATCCCCAGAGCCCGATCCCCAGTACCCATGGTCCCAACTCGAAGATTGTGGGAGACGAGACACGATCGCGGTAGTAAAATACCGGGTATAGACTTACTAGATCTTCTGCAGCGCATTGACGACATGTCTGCTCCTCTGGCTGCCACGGCCTCACCTTGCCGCGGTGCATCTTCGCCCCTCTGATTGCTGTCGTTTGTTGCAGTTGTTAAGAGTTGTAGCTTTCATGTCTTGGCCACACTTTTTGACCAACATTCTGTGTGTGTTTTGCGCTGGCTCGGAGCGGAGTCTCGAAGCCGCTCAAATCGTTTTGTGGCGCTCATTGATCGCCTGAGCTACTTTTCCCCTGAAAATTGCCAGCGACGTGCCTCGAGGCCTGGGACTCCGAATCTGGCAATTAACAGTAACTTTGGGCCGGGGCAGACGTCGTTGATTAGAATCATTAAGGGCGCGTTTCGATATTAGGTTTAGGTTTGGGCTAAGAGTTAGGATTGTCTGCCAGTCTACCCAATTCGGGGCTGTGTTTGCCCAAGATTTAGATGCAGTCGATAGAGCGGAACTCCTGCCTAGCCTGTCTCCACAGTTGACCCCACACGACCCGATCCTTATTAAAAGTAAATAAAGTTATAACTGTTTGTGGCGGTCGCGGCACGAACTGCGCGGCCAGAACTGGAGCCATAAAGAACACAAATCTAATAAAATATAATGCAGCAATTCATAATTTTGTTAAACAGCTTGGCCCCCTTCGTTCCGGGGACTACTCCTTGCGCTCCTTTTTCGATATGTCTGCTGGTTGGGCAACCAACTACTTTACGGTCATTATGCATTTAAAACACGCGGTCACGATCTCTCCCTCGCTGAGTTAGTAACTGCGACGAGCCAAAACCGAAAACTGAAAACTGAAAACCGAAAACCCAAACCAAATACAAATACAAATCGAAGCCAAGCTCGTCGTAGGGTACATAACTACAAGCCGAAAACAGTTAACAAAGCCGGAGCCAAAAAATCAAAGCCCAGACGAGGCTAAGGCTAACCCCTCGAGAAAGCTCCGATCTGGGTAGTGCATTTCTCCAGTGCTGCCCGACCTGGAAGTGGAATGTCTTTCACTTTAAGCATGCAACTCCTCCGCGGAGCAGCGTCGAGAAATCGCATCCCAGCTCCTCGTCATCTCCGCTGCATTTCAATGAAACCAAAACTTTGTGCCTGGCACAATTTCTACCTCCTCCTTCGGCCGCGCTTATGATTTCCCATTTGGTTCCCGGGGATCGTCCGAGCTAATGGAAAGTCAATTGACAATTATGGCCATGGCCAATGAAGTGATTCGCTGAGCTTGCCGGACTGACCATGTCTAATTTGTATCGCCAGAGCTTCACGATTATTACGATTACCCCTGGCTCGTTGTTCACCGTGGTTTATGAAACCGAATGGTTAATAATGGCTAATTGAATTCCTGTTGCCTCTGGCGACAAATCATTTAGCTTGATTTACGCGCTTTGTGTGGGGGCAATGCCTAGGAAATTTATATGATAACTGCGCTCGAATGTTTTGCCAGAGCCAATCATCGCCAGATCTTGGCTGCACAACAAGCCGTGGTTTTGTCTTTCAACTGACACTCGTCTTTTATGGCCAGCTCAGATTCGGAGTTGCGTGCAACCAATGCGGCCGAGAGAGCCATTAACGACATGCAGTCCCAGCAGACAGCTGGCCATGCAATCACACTGCCCAGAGTTCGGCAATCGGATATATGAGCTGGAATCATGATGATATCGGCTGGCATATGGCCCAATCATTAGCTCGGCCTGCTCGGCTGCTAAATGATATATCAGCGACTGCAGGTCTTTTCGCTACGCCTTGCGTAATGGAGTCCTCGGCTGGGGAGTGACTAATTAAGCAAACAAAATTTCATATGCAATTTCGAAACGCCATTCTTAACAGCAACAACAATTTAAAATGCTTTAAAGCTATGCAAATTTACAAGTGCTGATGTCTAATTTGAATTTCAAACAGTCAACCACAAAAATATATATGAGTATAAAAAATAGAAGAACCGCTCGCAGCGCTGTGTTGATGTTTTTACAGCGGCAATTGATAAGCAAACTTTTGGTGCCTGGCAATTAACACTCGACGGCACACGCTGCGTATGCGCAATCTAACAATCCAGCATTGCTGTAATTAAATGCCACGGCTAGTTGACAAGATGGAAAACTCATTGGCTTGGCCGTATCGTTTTCGCGGGGACAGGGCGTTGTCTTGCGGCTTCATTTTCCCGAATTTAATTAACCCAAGTGTTGTACTCGCCGTTGTTCGGTTCTCAGTAGACCTACTTCAATTGAACATAAATCAAGTAGACATGACGTAATCTCCCAGTTTCGTCATCGATCCGCTGCCGCTGTGTTGTTTTGGTGTTCAGTGTGCTCAACTCAATTGAACTGAGCCGTTGTGGGCGTGGCAGCGGCTCATGTTCGGTTATTGGTTTGACGTGACAGGCACTCGAGAGTTGGAAATTTTCTGCCGGCGCCAGGTGAACTGCCCCAAAGAGTATCGACCATGTACAGCATTTGCATCCATAACTGTGAATCCGCAGACAACTGATGGTTTCCTTGCTTTGCCTGTCTTTCAGATGCCTGTGGCCTGTCCGACGTGACGCACATTGAATCCCTGCAAGAGAAGTCGCAGTGCGCCCTCGAGGAGTACTGCCGGACCCAGTATCCCAACCAGCCCACGAGATTCGGCAAGCTGCTGCTCAGATTACCATCGCTGCGAACTGTCTCCTCACAAGTAAGTTTATTTAAAGGTTAATCATTAGTCTAAAAATAAATTATGGGCTTAAATTATTATGAAACAAAGGGTACCTTTCATTTGTTATAGTAAAGCTGAGTATTCAAGATAAAAAAAATTAGAACTAAAAAATGTTTATTATACTAAATTGTACAGAAAATATAAAAAGCCCAAGCTGATCATTTTTTTAAAATAGATTTATAAAACTAAAATGAATTCGGAAAAAATAATTTAAATTGCATAATAAAATGTTAAACCTGTACTGAAAGAAGTCTAGATTGACACTGGTTTTTCAATTAGCCCCTTAAGCTAACATAGATTTAATTAGTTTCTGCTTTCATAAAATGGCGGGAGGCGTTAAAAATCTTACAAACCATTAAATTAGTTTACTAAATTTTGTTTTCATTTGCAATATTTTTTTATTGTATACATGTAACATAAAATAATACGAGCTAAATAATTTTGTTTAAAGATTAAACCTAATCAAGGACAAATAAACAGGGCAATTTGTTTTTTTAGTAGTAAGAAACCTTAAAAGTTGGTTTAACCTATTTTCAATCAAAATTTTTTTAAGGAATTGACTAGGATCTCTGAAAAATTTAATAGTTCTTCCCCTAATTTGAATCTTTTCTTTTCTTCCTTCTGCTTTTTTTTGCCTAGGTCATTGAGCAATTGTTTTTTGTGCGTCTAGTCGGAAAAACGCCAATTGAAACGCTGATACGCGACATGCTCCTGAGCGGCAACAGTTTCTCCTGGCCCTATCTGCCTTCGATGTGACACACGATGTGGCGCCAATTGACAACAACTTGATCATCGGCCGCAGCTGTGGCGGCTGCAACGCTCAACATCAATCCCGGCGGAGGCGGCGGAGGTGTCGCGGGCTGTGGCAGCCACAACGTTGTTGCTGCCAGTCATGACCAGCTCGCCAATGTTGCTGTCATGGAGCCAACATACGGCAGCCACAACGGTAACAACGGCAGCGGCGGCAACATTTGCAATCAGCAGATCAACAACTACAGCAATAACAACGGCAGCAGCAGCAATCATATGAGTGCAGGCAGTTTCTTCGGCAGCAACAATACCAGCCATACCGATTATATGGCCACGCCGACTACCACTTATGCGACACCCGCGACAGCAGCAACATCCACAGTGAACACCACGACGATGCTGTCTAATTACTGCGATGCCGCGACCATGATGATGGCCGCTGCTGCAGTCAATGCAAATCAATGCCTGCAGCAACATCACCAGCGCATGTTGCGGGTGGCGGGCAGCAACAGCGGTAGCAACAGCAATAGCACAGCGGCAATTCCCTCTTCGTCCTCGGCCGGCTCGCTGTCATCTGCCTCATCGACGCCAACAGCAACAGCAACAGCAATAGCAACAACCGCAGTGGCCCCGCAGCAACATCAGCAGCAACAGCAGCAGCAACAGCAACAATCGCCGCCAAATTTAATCGATATCAGCGAAGTTCCTCTCATTGTGGATGTCAAGTAGTGTAATTATTTATGCATCTAGAAATGGGGCTATAAAACAACCTTGTAGATACCCCGCCCCCAAAACCCAAAAACCCAAAAAAAAAAATGTTTTATGAAAAATGTAAAAAAAAAGGAAGAGCCGCTTAGCTTAATTGACTAATTTTCCATTTGTAGTTTTTGTTGTAACTTTGTACATAATTACCAGAAAAATCCAAATTTTTCTCTAGGCCGCCCCAGCTGCGAGCAACAAATCTCAGCTGACATATCCCAGAGAACTTCAAAAGTTAAATCCAAAAAAAACGGCGGCAAATAACGTCTTTATATATGAATGTGTATAATATTTAAATGGCACTGAGTTCTACTTAATTTTTAAGCCACAAAAATTAATGAAAAATTGAGGAAAAAGAAAACAACTTGGAAAGAGACATCTCCCTTTAAAAAGACAAAACATAAAGATAGTTGAAATATTTATATATGTAATGTAGCATATACACTTATATACATATATGAATATATAAATGAAACTCTACTCCCAGTGGTTTGCAGAAATATACCAAAAATTTTAAGCTATGTTTACTTGATGTGTGGCAATTTTTTATGTGTGCTTTAGCAATTTTATTTTTACTTTAAGTAAAATTTAAAATTAAATTCGATTCTCGAACGGGTTTTCTCTCTGTGGTACATCTCAAAGATGCCCCTAGGTGGAAAGCCCATTTCGTTGAAATATGAATGCAAAATTTAGCGAATTTTTTATTTAGTAACCATTACGAGTAAAAACACAAAATGTTCAGTGCAAGTTTCAGTTCTTAAACGATTTTTTCGTAATCATAAGCATTATCTTATTTATGTGTATAGAGTATGAAAAGTTTTCTATATTTTGTAATAATAAAAATTTGCGTTTATAATGAATCCTTTATTGTGTTTTAATTTTTCTGTTCGGTATCTTTTCCCATAGGTAAGAGCACCAATTCGAAGCAACTGCAGCCAAACTGTACATAAAATACTCAAAATCAATTCCCCTTTGTTTGAAACCAATTTGCGTATTAAGAAAGCATTTCAAGTAAAGGAAAAATAAATTGAGCAAAACTTTTGTAAATAACAATAAATACATACAAATTAAGTATAAATAAATATTAAAATAATTCGATTGATTATTGAATGCGTCACGTAAACACGTGTAAATACAGTTTTAAGAGTGATTTCGATGTTTTTAATAATGTAAATCTACTGATAATAAAATAATGAATGCAGTTGTAATTAAAAAGCAAGTGTCGGCGAGAGTGTGAGTAGGCGGGATTGTTTTGAATATGTGTCCTTATCACCGACTATAGACCCATCACAATAGACAGACATCTATATCAGCATCAGCAGTTCACAAAACGATTATTGCGTTCATTGAAATGCATTTAAGTAATTAACTATCCCACGAATATTTGTTTTTTGATAATTTCGATAATAAAGTGATGTATGTATGTGTTAAATAAAATCTTATTTATTATAAAAAAACCAATTACAAGTTTTTGATTAAAACAAATCAGTCAAAATTGCAACTTCATATGTGGAATATGTGTCTATAGACATTTTAAGTTCTAAACTATATTTTCTATTCCATCGTTTTTTTTGTCTGGGTTCCTATATTTTAATTAAGTGTAAATTATCACGATATCTCGAAGTATCTTCAGAATACCTCTTAAAAATGAGACTGCAGTTATATTAGTGCTGCCAGTTCGCATTGAAATTCCAATCCGAAAACATTTACACACCCCACACTGATCTTTAACCCACACACACTCATCTGATGACCGCTGAACTAGGGAAACTTTCATAACTTTCCGGGACAACTTCCTCAAAGCGAGCATATGTATATCTGGGCATTAAGCGGGACGTGATGCAACCAAATACCATGTGTTGCCGGAATAAATGCCCAAGTCATGCCGAAGCACCCACCTCGCCGCACAGGGCAATTACCCGAACTGCTCTGAAATTGCCAATAATGAGACATGCAACTTGTGCGCTTAGCCCCTGTAATGGATTGCCGTGGATTGGTATCAATTGCGGGTCAATTCCTCCGCAGCTCGGGGCTGGGGAATTTCACGCGCCGACAAGATAATCGCCGGGATTCCCTAGTTTGCCCCGGGTAAAACCCAAGCCCAGTCCCAAGGATCGTGCATTGCAGACAGCGTGTAGCCAACACAACTCAACTCAACTCGAGTCAAGTCAAGTCAAGTCAAGCCCAGACCCAGAGACCCAGGCAATGGCCAAATTGCCGCTGCCAAATGACAAATTAGATATCGAAAATAACAATTTGATCGACAGCCGATCGCCACTGCTCCACTGCCGGGCTCCAAAGTTGCGAGAGAGAAAAATTACCAAACTCAAATTGGCCCAAGATCCGAAATAAGGAAGGCACTTTGCGGTTGGAGCGTAGCCAAAGGAGTTGATGAAGGTGTTGATTTGATTACTTTTATGTAAGCCCAGTCCCAGTCGCAGTCTAAGTTGGAGTCCCAGTCGAAGTTGCAATCCCAGTCAGATGCCGATGCCGATGCCGCAGCCGATGTCGAAGTCATCGCAATGGCCATCGAATATATTTCGCTCCCCCCACGAATCGTGATCGGGGCAATTTCAGATGGATTTTGGCATCAATTGAAGCCGCCGTGCTGCACCAAGCTCCACTGTATCTCAACGGCCGGCATCTAAATGTGAAAAATGATTTGACTTTAATGGCCGCCACTGAGTGATCAGCGGGCTGCGATCATCATCATCCGATCATCCGATCATTGGTTCATCCCCAACCTTGGCCGAGGTGTTAAGATTTTGTGACCAATTGGCCAAGAAGGTAACGGTTGCTGCCACTATCTCCTCCGCATCGTCCTCCTCCACACTCGGTGTCCACGGCACTTATTTGCTCTTGAGTGGTGCTGATCGGAGCCGAGTACTTGGCTCTAGGCACATGATTGATCCACTGCAGTTGCATTTGCATTCGCACTCGGCTCGTTTCGACTTGCGGTGGTGGAACGTGGGAATTTGGCTTGAAGAATTGCAATTTTCCGCGCGAGGAGGTGTGTCCGTGAACTATATTTCGTACCACAAATTGTTGTCTTTAGGATGCCGTAAATGAGCTATGGAAAATGAGGCGGAAAATTGTGGAAAATAGCTATTAAATTATTTGGACAAGCTATTACAAAACTGAGAATAATATAATGCAGCTTAACGGCGAAATGGTTTTCTTGCGCAATCCTTTGTTTTAGCTAACATGTTACTAAATCTATATTGAAAATCTTTAGTCTAACCAAAAAGTTAAATAATCGTTTTAACATGAAATTGTTTTAACATCTATTGGCCTTTGTGATTAAATTGTGTACAACTATTTTTTAAGTCTGCATGACACTGGGGTCAATTATGAATGGATACTAGGCGAAGCATTAATAATTTTGTTGCCTTAAACTCGAAAAATAGTCTTTAGATTTGCGTTTTATATTTTAGAAACAGTTCTAAAAGGTTTTTAAAATTATTTTTGTTTAAATGTCAATAAAATAAAGATTTAGCCTGTAAATATATTATTATTCAAGCAAGCACACAAGAAAAGTAAATTTAATTGTTAAAAATTTCAAACTAATTGAAAGTACCTAACAGGAGCTAAATGAAATATTTTCAGTTGACCAGTTACAATACGTTTGTCTCCATCTTTCCTATGCCAAAAGTCGCATGAAAAGAAAGAATAATTATATAAGCCTCCAGTCCGGAGAACACCTATATGTGGCATGGTGTCCATGGACCATGGTGAATGGTCCTCGATCCGCTGAACATACAAAGCCGTCACAAAGACCCTAAGATATTAGCGGGCATTTTTCAATCCTTTGACGATGGTCAAAATAAAATATTATTTCGCGCGTTAATACGCAAAAATAAGCGGCCAGTTGGGTGGCACGAAATGCCAAGGCCCGGCCAAGCGGGTGGCAGCGACTCCTCCCGCCCGTCCCCCTGCTCCCCTGCTCCCCCCACTTCTGCCCCATGGCAGATTGCTGAATAACCGGACTGAGGCCAGGAAGGTGTTGTTGGCTGAGAAATTATGATGGGAGACTGCGCCGAGTCTGGTCAATTGCAATGCGAATTTGTGACTCGTTACGAACGCGTGGCGGTCTTTGGGGTCAGGGGAGCAGGCGGAGGAGGGGAAAGGGGGAGGGGGCCAAGAGGGGGAGGCCCGCCATGGGTGGTCCTTGGTCGCCTCTCAAAGATGCAAAATACTTTTGACAATTTGTACTTGTTGGCCCGACTGCCGTGCGTTATAAATTATCAAATAGAAATAGCTTTCGATTCTCCCTCTGCCATTTTTTCGCGAGTGTCTGACAGTGAAGCTAAATTATTTGGCATGCGGTGTGAAATATGTGTAATTGGAAAACAAATTCCAATTGCCTAATTTATGACTTGTGCGAAATGGCCACAAATTTATTATGTCCCTCAAGGAGCGGGGGGTCAAACAATGTCCTGGATGGAAGGGGTTACGATTCATTTGTTACCTTTACTAATTAAATTATGACAAAAGGAGACTGCGAGAGGGTTGTCCGGGCCACATGTCCAAAAATGTTCAACGTATTCAATTTCATTTTATGTAAATGCTCGTAATGTGACAAAAAGGCTGGGATATGGCACACACATTTCGGTGACAGATAGGCTGAAAGTTCCATTTCAAAACACGCAGCGAATTGAAAGGTTTGTTGGGGACTGGACGTTGCTAATGAAATTGGACACCAACATCGCCGGGCCACAGGAGATATGCCAGATACGGCGTACGGAGATACAGATACACCAACCCACCAACCCGAAATTATGCAAATCACAGACAAAGACACGGAGACTGCATATGCAAAATGTTTAACCCTTAATTGGTCCATAAGGCGGCCCGACGGTCTCTCACTCACCTATCACTGACATCGATAGCCATCGCCATATCCCAGAGATACTTGTTCGCCAGACAGAACGACAAAAGTCGGCCCAGAGCCGAGCTAACTTTTTCAATTACCCCGAAAACCGACGCAACCTCGCTGTGGTCTCTGTGGTCTCTCCGATCTGGATTTGAATCTGAATCCGAATCTGAATCTGGATTCGACTCGCCCCCCTCCCCACGGGTTGGCTCTGTTTTGGCGTTGGCGTGAATTATCTGCGCAAACAGCCAGTGACAGGCGTTGAATTGCCTCAGTTGCATCCATCTGTGTGGTGTGTCCAGTGGCACTTTGTCGCATAATATGTTAATCAGCCACATGTCAGCCTTGCCTCCTGCGGGTGGGTTTTCGGCCAGCGATATGGGTGGCATTTCGGGATGGAATGTGGGGACCCTTGCCACCGGCTTAATTAGAAGTTCAGCAACGAAGGGGTCAGTCTGGAAGCGAGTCTGTATTTAGAAAGGATGCTTCTGTGGCTAAACAGGCGTATTTAGGCATGTAAATAAATATATAACACCATTTTCATATGAGCACCCATCACAGATAAAGCCAAAGTATTTGTTGGGGATAAAACTAATCTAAAAAAATAATGGTTTTTGTAATTTGGAAATATATGTTACAAAGTCCATACAAATTTAATTAAACGATTTATCATATCGTTATTTATTAAACCATTTATTTAGAATACTTAAAAATTAATAAGGATTTTTCAAAGTGTACCACACTTTTCATTGCTAAGGTGTAAAAAAAGAGTCTATTAATTTTTGGATTGATTTTATTATATAATAATTTTAAGTTCTAATAACCCAATATTTTAATAGTAATTTATCACTTCTCGAAGATAATATTATTATTGTTTAAATTTTTTCCAAAATATAAACTTTAATTGTAAGTTCAAGCACTTAGTGAAAAAACCCACCATATTGACTTAAATAGTGTAATGCATAAAACTCTATATATTCCTATTAATAATTGTTTCATATTTTCTAAAATATTTTCCTAATGTAATATATTTCATATAATATTTATATCATCAATTATTGTTTTAACTTATTCAACAAATTTACCTATCGTACCCTGGTTTTGTTCAATATGGCCAAGGCACAAAACTCATTTTAAAAACAAATTTATCAAGGAACGGATATCGCCACAGATCCGCGAACCGTAAAGCTGTATTTATGATCAATCTGTCACTTCCATATACAGTTATTCTTGACCCTTTCTTGCTTGGTCCATTTAACACACACACACACTCTGTAAAAGGGACTGCAATATTTTGGCAATAAATTGGCATTTAAATTAATTCACCTTGAATTATGTTCTTTGTGCGATAAAAGGGAAACACTCGGCCAGACCAGGCAGCCCCCCACAGCGTAATTTTCAATCAAAATCGCACATCCGCGAAATTATCATGAACTCAGCAGAGCAGTCCGAACCCATACCCACATACCCACATGCCCATATCCCCGGATCGGGTGAGGAGATTATCAAATTGATTCCAATTAACACTTGCCACCGCTGCAAGGACTGCCAGGCAATTGGACATTGGCCATTGGACATTGGCCAGCGGCCGGTGGCGGTTGCATTCATTTCTTCTCGACTGTGTATGCAAACGTTATAAATATTTCACTCTTTGTGCGCGGTTTACGGTTAGCAGCCACAACACCCTGAGAGACGGCCAAAAGGGACCCCAACTTTATGGCCAGGCAATACAAGGCCCGATTCCTTTCTCCGTCCCAGACGAAACACGCACATAACTTAAGCGCACTTTGTCGTAATTCGTAATTCGAATTGACAAACGTTTCTTGGCCCAGTCGCCTTTTCTCAGTGGCCTTACCTGGTGGCTAAGTTCGGCTCACTTCGGCTGGGCTGTGTGTGTGAAATGATAAATATTCCATAATTTCGCCTGGCATTCAATTTCGATTCGTGTGACACATAAATTACGAATTAACGCTTTAAGCCCAAACAGGCGAAGTTTAAAGGTAAGAAGAGAGCTGAAGGGACAGAGGTTTACTTTGGTCGATTTGCTGGCTTGGCACACTTCCTAGAGTTTAAGCAATCGGAAAATCGCTGCCTAGAGGGAAATGTAGTTAATTTAAATATTGCAACAAAAACTTATTTACAGTGCATGGGTTAGAAAGTGAACCACGGATGAAAGCCCACAAAACAGCATCTTATAAGAATGCTTGGGGATAGAAAATAATTTAAGTATATACATTTCCTCGCTAAATAAAAGTATAAATAAACTCTTGAGAGAAAAATATTGATAGGTGATAAGATAGGTGTATCTTAGCTTAGTGATTTTATCGCATTATTATTATTGTAACAGTGAAATTTAGCTTTAAATAAAGTATTATTTGTTTAAATTGAATTCCTCAATGGTTCTCCCGTAATGATTTCTCATCTTGGTATCGCATAAAATCAGAAGATTAATGGCTGGTGATAACTGACGTTTTAAGCACCATCATAACCATCTTAATTAGCTGCTACACCTGTAAATCAATCCACTGGAGCACTCTCATATCATCATAACTACCTGGCTCACCCACTTTTCAAAGAAATACACGCAGAAGTCTCTCTCACGTTCCGAGCTGCCAACTGACAAGGCGGGCAGCTTAATTAAGTTGAAAATTTATGAAGTTCTTTATCAACAGAAATTCATTAGCCAGAATCTAAAACAAGTACAAAGTATCGCTGAAGGAAAAAAAACAAAATAATTTCCTTAGAAAAGGATTTCCTCCGAAAAGGCAAAAAACCAGAATGGGGGCGGGAGCTCAGACTTAGACAGAAAGTTCAAAAAGAGGAAAACCCTGCAATGAGGCATACGAAAAGTCGAAAGACGCGATGCGCACAAAAGATGATTAATAATCTCCAAGACAGACTCTGACTCCCAAACACTCCCCACTAACCGCAGTGAAATCCTGGGTCGGGAGTGGGAAAAGACAAATGTCTTGGCTGCGTGGTCTCTTTCACAGTTAATTTAAGTTTCCAGGCATAACGGATGCAGGACCTGGCTGGAAAAAGAATTTTGCTGATTTTGTCAACTGTTTGTCGCTGATAAAATTATTAACTCCGCTTTTGTTTCAGCCCCCGTGACAAAACCGGAACTGCGGCGAAGGACATTTTTTTAGCTAGCGCCCAAATTTTTGTATTAAAATGCAAATTTTTTGTTAATTTTGTTGTTTTTGTTTTAATCAGCGGGAAGCCACTGTGGTTGCACTTGGGTGGTGATGAATGTTGAACCCCGGCGTATGTCAGGAACCAGGATACAGGGGTCCAGCCCCCAGGGCTGAAATTGTTTTTTCTAAATGTTTTTCTAATTTTCTTTTCGCTGGTTCATAATTTATAATTTCCCCGTACTAATAGAGCTTGTAACGAGAATATTTTGTTCTGCGAGAAATTAATATATCATTAAAGAATACCAGAGAAATATCAAAATGCCTTGCATCCATAAATAAATTAAATAAATATTGAGGTTTATACGTTGCACAGTTTGTTTTGAGTTCAGGCCATTAGTTAAACTCTTAGTTAAGTGCTTGTGAGCCGAATTTTGATGTGCTCCAGTATGTTGTTACTGCTCTCGTATCTGGAAGGCATCTAAAGACACCGCGTTCAGTTCACAGACGCGAGCGAGAGACATAAACAATTAAACTCATTTGACGATTAATTACGCGCCGCTTCCAAATCGCGTGTGCTGCCACCACAGCCTGCAGCCCGCGGCAAAATTGTTCTATCAAAACACAGCAGCTCAGCAAAAACCCAGCGACAAGAACAACACCCACAGCTAAAGTACAAATTCATTTGCTGCTAAAGACACAAGAGGAACTTGCATGTCGTGTCATAATCTTGATGAATGCATAATTGCATGCCATGCTCCCAAGCACTCCCCCGCCCATCCACCGATGAGATCTGCACTGTGCCCCGATCGAAATGGGCTTAAATGTCAACCAGCATAAGAACGGACCCGAAAGAAGACCCATTTTCTAAATATTTTCATGTTTTCCAATAGAATAATGTAATAGGAATCGAAAGTTTTTCCTCTACACTGACAAAATAATTGGATAACGGAAAATAAAGTTGATAAATAAAATGCATTTTTAAAAAATATGCGTATTTATTAGCATTTTAAGCAAGTTAAAATAAAAGGATTTTTTCATAGGTGTTGGTCTCTTTTGAGACAATATTAAACATAGAAATGCTGAATACAATACATAGTTTGTATTGTATTTATTTATATAAACATATATTTTTTAAGAATAATTTATCAAATTGTAAGAAATACTTCCAAAACATAAACTGATTTCAGATTTCAAACCCATTTTCCTGACTACATTTATCCAGCATGCAATACATGAATTATGCGGCAATTAATTAATAAGAAATATCTAAACCAACCCGAACTAACCCAATCCCCATGCAACCACAAATGGCAGCCACCATCATCTTGACTCGACTCATTCATAGACTTTGTGCATTTCAGGGAGAGCTAGATATTGGTGACCTAAATTATTCAATTCATTTTTATTTATTTTTAATTTTTTGATTTGTTGCAATAATTCCCCACCCCGCTTCACCGAACGAGAGAGCAAAGGGGTCTGCTTGTTTGTGTAACTATTTATTCTAATTTGACCCGCTTATTGAGAGGCCCGCCCTTCTGCGCCCCGCTCACCCCGTTGGCCATTAATTGATGCAGCCGCTTAAATGATGAATCACTTTTTCATTAAAATTTGACTTTGAGTGTGACCCCCATGTGGCTGGCGTTGACTTCTATGTGGTTAATAGTTAGCTTTCCTATTGATAAATATTCCGCAATTGTCGCTCGTGGAAATCAGCCATGTGTCTCTTTACATTGACTTTCTTTGTCTGCATTTGCAAGTACAATGAACCAGAATCGGTAGCTTCTTCAAACATCAAACTCGTGCTGAACAAGCTGACCCATAAAGCACAGCATAAAACCGATAAAAAAAAGTGCATGGTGCAAGAAAGAAGTGCAGAGAATGAGAAAGTGGCAACCGATAGCACACCTGCACCTCAGAATGGAACGTGAATGTGGGCAGCAATGTAAATCGTATTTAAGCTGGGGTGAAGGCCACCGAATGACAGTTGAACTCCCAGTTCTATTATACTAACAAGCATACTTTGTGGTCTTAAAATGACTCTTTCGATTGCAACTCTCCTGTTGCTCTTCATGGTGGCTGCCTTTGCAGCAGATCCTTCTTTGAATAAGCCGGCAGGCATCGAGGACTTTCCGGACTTTGACGATACTCCGGATTCCGACGTTGTTACAGTAGCAGAGGCTTCAAGTGGATCCAGAGGATTAACGGAAGCCACAATTATAACTGGAACCACTATTTCTTCAGACATTACCACAAATGTTCCCAAAACTGCTTCCTCAGCCGGATCATTAAATGTTAGCACATCTCATTCCGCACAAGATTCCTCAACTGTGCGAACCACAAAAGGTTCTGCAACGAATGATTCTACAACAATTGCTCTCACCACAGTTTCAACAACCACAACTTCTACAACAGCTGTGTCTACCACGGTTTCTACAACCTTACCAACAGAGTCCACAACATCTTCTTCAGCCACAACCGATTCTATAACAAGTGATTCCAGTACAGTTGAATCTACATCATCTGTTTCCACCACAGATTCTCCAACAACAGTTCAATCTTCAACGTCTACCACGACAGATTCCTCTACACTTTCTTCAACTACAACTGATTCCACAACAAATAAATCTACAACTACCGTTTCCACCACAGATTCAACATCTGATTCCACAACAGATAACGTTACAACACCTGTTTCCACCACAGATTCAATAACTATCTCAACCACTGAACAGCAAACCGAAGAAGAAATCTTGTTCACCCTCCTGGCTGAAAATTTCGGTGCCCTAATCGAGTCCGATTCTTTGCTCAATGCCATCAACACTTTAAACTGGAACATAAGCACAGACCTTGATAATCAGTCTGAGTCTTTTTCCCTCATAGAAAATACCGAAGAGCTCCTGCAAAACACGTCGCAAGCGATTCTATCTTGGGAAGTCGATCTTCTTCAAGGAGTCGTCAATTCCATTCAAAAGATAGACTTATTTGCCAACCGATCAATCGACACCGTATCTCAATTGCTAAGATTTCAAAAGCTGAACCAAGATCGGGTTAAAAACCTTGGGAATAAACTTGACGTCACCCAAGGACAAATCCTGCTCAAATCGAAGGGATTGGACAACAAACTGAACTTTGTTAGCCAAATACTAAAGGGATACATCGAGCCAAAAGTAAATAATTTAAAAGAATCGTTTGCTAACTTAAATACTTCGCAAGTCAATTCTCTAGTTGAGCTGAAGAACCTTCCAATAATTACAAATCTTACCGAAACTTCTATTATTAAGTTATCATCCTTGAGTAACCAATTAGCTGTATTTAACCAAACTCAAGAAAGTAGTTTGTACTCCCTGGAAACCGCAGTTAAAGACTGGGCCCCCACTAACTTCAACGCAATCAACGATCTCATTCAGGCTCTAAGTATTTCACAAAAACGTACCGATTTGGCATTGGCCATCTGCGGATCTTCGGACTATAATCCTAATAGCTATTCTAGTGATTTGGATAACTACAATAATTACAACGTCGGTATCGGCTCAGAACCTATTACTCATCAGATTTCAAGTGACGAGGATAAGACATTACCAATAAACTAAAGTTTATATAAAATTCGAATTATGTCAACCAGATAAACCCCGATTTAATTTAAATGCATTGTATAATCTTAAAGTAGTTATCAAATGTTAAAGGAATTAAGGCAATGTATCAATTTACCCTCCCACTCTAGCTTTCAAATAAAAAACAGTTTAAAGTGCAATACTGGTAAAGTACATTTTCTGTTACGGTTTTCATGCTCTCAAGCACAAATTGTGCATGGCAAATATGCGGACTATTTTGGCTGGCTATCAATTTACAGACAAGGGAACACCGTGAAGCTGCTGAGCGAAACCGATACCACGATATACCGAGATGTCGGGGACCCCAGAACGAATCCCAGACCTAACCGAGAACTACAAATGTCTTCCAAAAGGCTGGGAGGATGGCGCGAAACAAAAGTCAAAACAAGCGCAACATGAATGAACCTTTTAACATACTTGTAGTTACTAATTCCAGGTGACAGGCGACACAATGAGTCGAAGTGGATTTTTCATTTGTGGCCATTGTTGGACCCTCACGGGGCTTGGGATTCGGGAGTCGGGGTTCTCTGGCAGAGGAGCAGCCCATAAACAGAGGACACAACAAAGTTGTAGCAACAACAGCATCGGCTGCAAAAGTGACCAAAATCAGAGGCTACCAAAGTAGTAACAGATGCTCGATGCGAAGGTGTTGCCATTGGCCTCTGAGGACCCGCAATCGGGAGTCCCGCATATCTCCGGGCTCGAGAGCATCTCTCTGGGCACACGACATATACAACGTATCCTTTTCCCTTTTGGTTAAACTTCTGTCTGTTTCTCCTCTTTTTTTGGCACAAGCCGGGCAATAAATTATCAGATACAAAATCGAGTCCAAGCCGAAGTCAAAACAAAGGCATAAACACTCGACGGACAACAGAGATGGCAACAAAGCACGCACTCGACCAATTGACGACACAAAAGACCAAAACAAAAACCAGAATCGGAATCAGAATCAGTATCGAGCCCAGTAACAAAATCAGAAGCAAAACAAAACAAATCGAGAGCCTGCCGCTGCCCAGAATGCAGCATGAACAGAAGAATGCCCGAAAAGCATGGACATAAACACTGACAACATGCTGCGACACGGAATGGCTCAGAGAAGCCCCAGATCCTTGAGTATGGGGTCTACACCCAAAACAATATCACTTTCCTTTAGGCCATAATCAGATAAATAAGGCATATAAATATGTTATGCTACATTTAGATTTTTAAAATATATTCATATTTATATATATTATTAAGCCATTGCAAATGCTTCAAGAGGATACTTATCTTATCATTAATTTATATATTGAACACCAGTTTACATAAATACAAATAATTACAACCAATCATGAATTCTTACATATTTCTGATCTATAGCCAACTAGTTATAAGTTATACTCGGTAAATTAATATTTAGCTGGGGAATAAAGACGTCTAATTCCTAATTATATATTATGATCTCCTAAAATGTTTTAAAATATGGCCCAAATTCATTGATTTTTTTGCCATCATTAGTAGGTAATATTTCTTTTAGGTGTATAGTCTGTGGCTCCCTTCTGCCCTTGGTTATCGGAAGCAGACGCACCAAATGACAACTTCGAGGGCAAAGTCAATGAGCGCCTTCCTGCTCCCTGTTATCGCCTGCTGCTGCTGCGTTGGCCAGCTCCTTTCCCTCGGCTACTCCTGCTGGCCAGAGGACAAAAGGATCCCGGCGTGTTGCAAATCAAAACATGGTAACAACGACAGCAAACAAAACTCTGAACATGCGTCGAAATGCTAAGAAATATTTTCACTCAGCCAGCTGAAACATGCAAACAGCTAAAGTTGTTCAACTTAGTTTATGGAGCTGCTTGTGTTTGGTGTTTGTGAACGAGTTTGAAGGGGGGATTTGGTGGAAGTGAATATTAAGAATTTGCAAGAGCTAGAGCTTTAGTATTAAGAAAGCAGCCACCTTGGGTCTTAGATGCAAAGTCCATTTCCCTTTCCCGTTTCTTTTAGCCAATAGCCTCATTTCCCCACTTCATGATTCCCCATCGTTACCACTTAATTAAACCCAATTAATCCACAATATAAATTATTAAATTTCATAAAGCAACAAAAGTTAAATAACTTACACACAGACTGACGAGAGATTTCGACACCCAAAGCCAAGTAACCAGAAACAGCCGCAGCCACAACAGCACCACATCTCGGAGGCAGAAGACCGAGACGATGGAGATGATGATTATGAAGCCGAAGAGAGTGGCCCAGAGCTGGGGATATTGGGGGCTACAGGATTGGTATCAGAATCGGGCCTCGGCAGCTTCATGCTGTGCGCGATTCATGTTTGGTGATTAAAGTAAAGTTCGTAAATTTACAGTTTTCATCAAAGGGGCGACTGTTAGTGGACTGGACTCGGCTTTTCACAGTGCTCTGCTCTGCGAGCAGCCACAGAGTTCGCCCAGAGTTCAGCCCAGGTGACTGTGACGGTGACTCTGTCGATGACTTCGAACCCCAGCTCCAACTCCTAATCCAGCCTCTTGCAGCACACTCAGGAAAAAATATGATATATAAATACATTTTAAACCAAAACGTTGTGCTAATAAATCAATACCTATTTTAACTAAAAATCTGTGATTTCTCTTTACTTAAATATTAAATGCAAATTTAAATTTCTAAAATAAAATTATAAATTTCAAATAATCAAAAACAATAAAAAAGAAATCACCAGCATTTTAAAATCACTTAGGTATGTATCTTAAGTAAAGTCGTGTTACTAAATGAATCTAACGGACTCCTGAACTTAACATATATTGTTGCATACTTTTGCACACTTTTAAAAGAGATTTCAAAAACCAAGTGATTTCTGTGGCACCCTAAATATTTTCTGCTAAACTACTTCCTTCAATCAATTATTTATATTAATAAATTGCAAAATTTTTATAGAAACCTTAAATTCAATTTTTGTAAATTTAAAATATTTTTCAAAGTTTTCTTAATACAAGAATTTAAATACCGTAATGTGATCAATTTCTTTTGAGTGCACACACATATTCGGCGAGGCAGACTCCTTTGGCTTTCCTAAACTGATTTCCAGCAATAAGCATTAGTTGAAAATTGCAATTGTTTTTGTAAAGGGTAGGGAGGGGCAGTCTGGGAAGGGGAAGGGAAAGGAGGCCACACCGCGGGGGAGTGCCAGTCCCAGTGCCAAAGCTGAAGCCCAAGCCAAGTGCCTGTGCCAGCGATTGCACGATTCCCTGGCCCACAGAGGAATCCCGAGGAGGTGGTGGTGGAGGCACATCATCAACGTCCCCAGCCACGTCGTCAGTGCAGCAGGAAAGCTGCAGAAAAAAATCCAATTGTATTTAACGAATTTTTCGAAGCTGTTGTTGCTGTTGTGGTTCTTGTTGCTGGCTTCAGTGGAGTCCGGAACGGAGGGCCGTGAATCATATGGACACCATTAAATGGAAAGGTACGAGCAATGGCAATCGCCAACACGCGTCAATTGTGCGCGCTGTGTGAGACCGAAGGAAAATGTTGAAAAGCTGAAAGCCGAGAACCCAGAAAATCTGCGCAGCGATATCCACCGAACTTTCGATCGAATATGGCCGCGTGTCGTGACACGAGACACTAAGATAATGCTAGGTGGGTAAACCCAACAATGTGTCTAAAAATGCTTGTGAAGTCCATAATTGCATTGCTACAAAGAAGAAGACATGTTAGATAATTAAAAAAAAATCTTTAAAAAACATAAATATTTAGAATGAATTTATAATTTGTATTTTAACATTAATATATTTTTTGTGCTTTTAATATGAAGTGTATTTTCAAGTACATTTAAATACAAATGTCTAAGGTATCTTACAAAATATCAACATTTTTTGTAAATTGATGAATTGCATAATTTACACGTCTTACACATTTTGTTGTCAAGTTTCATGGTAGGATTGTAAATTAAATATTTTATTTTATACCCCTTAATAACAAAGCGATGGAAATGATATATATCTTTTTACACTATGTCCCGTCTTCTCGTCTTTATGATAAGCTTAAATCAGGTTTTTAAATGAGTAATCGTATGGAATTTTTCAGCCAATGAAGTTGAACATCTTCTTATATTAAATATAAGTAGTAACCACGATATCAGCACTAACTCTGATTGCAGCCAGAAATGCACTTGGGCCGGGGTCTCTGTTAGCTGGAAATGGGATTCTGGGATTGCGCGACGTGAAAATGACCCTGGCAGGATTGGGGATGTGCGGTGTCAGGGCTTATCAAAAGCGCAAACTGGCACCGCCACAACCGCAACCATTAATAAAACCTAATAACAACATAAATGCCAATATCTTTTTAACAAATTTGCCCGACTGCTGGCAGCAGATTTCGATAAGTGAACTAAATAACCAGATTAAAGCAGATCGTAATAAATGTAATTTGAATTCGCCACTCCATCGCAGAGCTCGATGAGCTCTGTGGTCGTTGCCTGGCAGAGCAGCCACATTACTTAATTGCATGGCCGAGGATATCACCAGGCAATCGATCGTCACGGATTACCAACGTGTAATAGAGCCGGCTTAAATTATGCGTTCGAGTGCCACGGCAAAGGGTGGCTTGCACCGCGGACAGGTGTTGATTGCTGCCCCTTCGCCAGCCTCCTTTGCATGTTGCCGCTGGCACTGGCACTGCCATTGGCTTGATGTTGATATCCGAGGAGATGATGATGCCGCTGCCGCGGATGATGGCCAGCTGGACGTGCTGCAAATTATTGCATTTGCAACGTGAGGCAGGAACAGAACATAAGTGGGGGAATAAAGACGCTCCGGAGCACTGAACTGCCGTTTGTTTCAAAGCTTAAGCCTCAGCCTCAGCTCCACTTTATTACTTCATTTAGTTGTGGGCCACAGATTCCGGGTTCAATTAATGTCTACTTTGTTTGGCTAACAAATTGAACAAACTTGCCGTTGCGGCCGCAACATGACTTTATTTTATTTGCTCTCGCTGCAGTTGCAGTTGCCGCA